CAACCTAACCTCATTATTCTTGAGAGCATTATATCTCAGAGATCCCTGGAGGAAATTACCTACAAAAACGTCAGAATCTTAGCTAAATGCTCCCAAAACCGTTCAACAACCACCAAACACAGTCAAGACAGCAAAAGATGTAAACACAAAGCACGGATTGTTCAACGTACATGGATATGCTGTTAAGTGCTGAAAGCAGACATCTCACAGATTCCGAAACTGTAACTGTCTAACCAAAATTCACTGAAGCAGCAGCAAAAGACCAAAACTACACTTCACATTTGGAAAAACATTGTAATGAATTCCCTGTAACTTTTGGTATGTTTCTTCAACCACGATAGAATTGCACTTGCTGCAGAGCTCTCTGTGTACTCCGAGAACAGTTTCCCATCAAAAGTCTCTATTTTCTGCCTTTTCCCTTGCTTATTACACACCAATCTACTGTTGTGTACAATGTTGTCGGTTGCGGATTTTTAATTATTTTAATTAAATGACCTCTGACAAAGCCTTATTTCTGCTATTCAGTGCTGAAGAAATTAAAACTTTCACAGATTAGGCCAAATTCTGCCAAACTACAAAACCTTCAGCTATGTCCCTCATAAAACCTCTGTAACTCTGATATTGCTGAGGTGAAGCAATATCAGAGTTATTGCTGAGCAATCTTTGCCCAGGTAATGTCCATATATTGATTTGTGGATTCCTTCAATTTTTAATCTACTGCAGCATATTTTTAGGGGTTTATGCGCTATAAAAAACCAGGCCTGGAATAACTTCTGTATATTTTTTAGCTTTCTTTTGATACCAAGATTGTTTACAGAGTTTGTATTTGCAGAGAAATGGTCAATTCACCATTGGAATGTGATTTTTAAACAGGAACCTCAGAAACATCCCTGGGGCTTAACAGACTAACTCAAGAATAAAAAACTCTAATTATGTGAATAGTCAACCAATATAATGGAAAAACCTTTAAAGTTAAAGACAAATTAAAATCAGTGAGCACTGACATATCATATGCCATAAAACTTTTCTAACCATTTCTCAATACCGTAAATCAAGAACAAGTGAAAACACTTTTAGTCAGTCATTTAAACTGATTTACATCAGTGACTGCAACACTGGGTAGTGACTGAAAGAATGAGATCACGAGTAAATGTGGTGGAAAATGAAGTCTTGCTGCCTTCTCCTTTAGAGGTATGTGCGGAGTTCAGTAATTCAAGTTGGGCTCGGAGCAATCCTGCTACACCTCAACAATGAAAAATGTCTGGCACCATGCAACTTATTTGCACTAATTTCAATTCAGTTTATTATAAAACAAAATCACAAAAGTAGTCACACCTCAAGGCACTTGAGTAAATGTAAGTTAAGATATATAAGCTTGCCTGTGTGTGTGTAATCATGAGCGTATCGTCATTGTTATACTCATTGGTGGAAACTTGCATTAAAAAGGCAACTTTAGTTTGAATGCAGGAAAATACTTTTTAAAATCTTTGCTTCATAATAGATTCCAAAATACATAACTAACATTGTGTGTGTTAACTGGCGTCTGAATAGATTTATGGAAACCAAGAAGTTGTGATGTACTCGAAGAAGCAGACCTCCAAACAACAGAGTGCCTGTGCCCAATATGAAGATGAAGAACAAGACTATGAAAACTTCACAATATTTGAAGACATCTACTGTAATGAAAATCTCCACAAAGCCAATAGAAAATAAACAGTCTAAGGAGTTTGGAAAGAAACATGTCTGGACTTTAGAGAATTCCACCAATTGCTCTTAGAACTGAAGAAGCTTCTCGGATGAGAGATAAAACATGTTCAAGAAACTTCCAGATGCTTTTCTTTCCAGCTCCTTAGACTGCGAAGACCTAGATGAACCTTCACAGACATAAAACAAACAGAGTGTTAATTTGAGGTCAAACCGTTGGTCTTACCTGTATAGAGATTAATCTACTTGATTGATCATTAACAGTTACACAACAAATCTCAACATACAGTGATCCAGCAGTCTTATTTTCTCAGTGAAACTTTGCTGTGTTTTCTGTTTTATCATCACTTCTTACTCTTTTGCTATTAGCTTTAACTTTGATTGCTTAGTGTTAACAGCAATCTGCAGTCTCTTCATGAAATTGAACTCAAATGCAAACAACTAACACAAGTGCAAAGTAAATAAATAAGCAAAGAAAAATGAATTCCAATGTTGGACCATTTACTAAAAAGTTTTATAGAACAGTCATTTTTAAATCTTTTGTTTATTTTTGCCCTATTTTAATGTAAATTGCCACATTGTCAGACTCCTTCAGTTCCAGATATTTGGGCAGAAATCGAGCAGTGAAATGTTAAAAAGTTATGTTTACTAATTGCAATTTTCATGTAATTTTTCTTTCTGTTTGTTGCAACTGAAAATTACCAGGTAAAGTGCTTTTATTTTATTAACATGGTAATGCTGTATTTAGCTTAAATTTATAATAACATTATTATATTTTTATTATTATTGTACATTTATTATTACTTCATATCATTAGTTGACATAAATTAGCCTTTTGCCTTAGTAAACAAGAGCATAGCACTATATTCCCGAGATATGTAAAGTAAAAAAAAAATACACCGAAAGAAAAGGAACAGAAAAATCCACAAAACTCTTGACCTGATCAGTTACTCAAACTAATCCAACCTTTTCAGATTTGTAGAGAATTTGTTGCTGCTTGACTAACATCATGAACTTTATTTTTTTTCCACCTCCTCTGAAGAAAATTAAACATTTTTTTCAAAAGTTACACTTTCAGTGTCACTTGTTAATGTGTCACTGTGAGCACTCTGCTGGTGCTGTTTTATCACTTCAAATACCCTCTTCTCTTGGATATTAGCATATATCACTGGTGAGACTGCTTAAATCTATTTGTGAGTGAAGAAGTAATCTCTGAATTTGTGGAAATGTTGACGCAAGTTGTTGTAGCATTCAGTCCTTCACTCTGACAAGTTATCAGCCAACATTAACGAGTTTGCTCAGCATACTACATCCCAAAACTGCAAGGTTGCAGCTCTTACAGTCACACCTACCTGCTAATCACAGAGTAAAAAATGTTTAATTTTACTCACCAGACCTTGAGTACAGACGTCTTGTACTAGTTGTGCTACATAGCAAAATGTGCTGAAGAGGTCTGTTTTGAAAGAAACAGCTGATGAATTGTCAAAAAAAAGTCTGAAAAAATATGTAGAAAAGTTACCAAAAGTTACTTTCTGTGTGGAGTTTGAATGCTGTTTCCAACCTTGTATGGGTTCTCTCTGGATTCTTCCCACAGTTCAAAGACACGCTACGGTTTACCCTGCCCTTTGGCCTATGACATCTAGGATACATTCCAGACCCTGAACTGGATAAGAAAATGGATGGATGGATTTTTTCCCCTAGTTATTTAAAGACTATGGCACTACATGGTGAGGAGCTAATGAGCTTTAAACTATGTAAACTGGCAAACTCTGATAACACTATTGGAAATTTTTATGAAAAATAAATAAACAATAACAATAATGAACCTGATCCTGGCTAGATATAGTTCAGCTCACTTCAACACACAGCTTGAGCTCTTGAACCAGTCTCTAGGAGAGGGCCTGGATTCTGTTCAAATCTGGAGTTGCTCTTTGTGAGAGGCGGCAGGCAACAGCTGACAGTTCAGAATACCCAGACCTCTTGAATTTACTTTGTGTGGGGACTCTGTCATCTTACAAGGAGACATTAACTCTCACATGAACAATTAAGAAAACCTGGAGGGGCATGAAAGAGACAGACTCCCTGATCTAAACCTGAGCAGTGTGCTGTTATTGGACTTCTGTGCAATAAATAAAAGTTAGCTGAAACCACATTTTTCCTATAACTAATTTCATGCTCAAACATAAGAGTGTCCACAAGTGCATGTGGAACGAGTAAAACCTAGTCTGCAAGTCGACCTGAATTTACAAAACTTTGGAATACAAGGTATGTTTTTTGTTTTTTCACAGAGAGTTTTACAGATAAGAAGCTTGCCTTAAAAAATAAATGCACTGAAAAGGAGACAAATGGAAGTGAGTAGAGGCAAGAGAGAACGCATGAATGACAATGAGACAGGTGTAATGGTCACTTTTAAGATTGTTTTCTGAATATTAACAAACCAGGAAATTAATGAACTGAGAACACAGCACAATAATCTTCAAACACAAATGTTTCTCAGATATACAAAATTAATTTCATGCAATGTAGCTGTTTCACTTTTTTTAACAGTGATGTTTATGTAAAACATTTGAATACTTCCTCTACCATAAGAGGATATGTGTCAGCTGTTTCAAAAATGACTGCTAATTACTTTTAGGGAAAGCCCAAGTAAGAATGCTCTACCTCCTCTGTGTTAAAGGTCGAATTCCACCTTTCCTTTCAAACTCCTGTGGCCAGAAGGGACTCCTATTGTGTGCATAATATTGTGTGCAACGCAAAGATGTGGAGCCTTCAAAACCTGCTTTTCATCCTCTGCAGTAAGTCCTTTAAATGAGTAAATATATAAAGATTAACAACAGATGTAGTTTGAATGGTACGTTTTACTTTTTTAGTACTGAGGAGCTGTATGACACACCCGGTATTGTTCTTGGTAATGTCTTTATACAACAATAGCATTGCTATCACGACAGCTGACATGACAAAATTTAAATTATTTTGTTGTTTTCACATTATCTTTCTAGTTTCTCTGAGATGTGCGACCAGTGCAGTAGGGGTGCTCAATGTCACTGGATATCTGAGAAGAGAGGTTAACATTTCCTGCTCTTATGATCTGGGTTATGAATCATATGAGAAGTACCTCTGTAAGAACAGTTGTGGCAGGGGTGATGTTCTTATTACAACAACAAACCCAGTGAAATATAAATACATGATCCATGATGACAAAATAGCACGAATCTTCACAACGACCATCTCTGATCTTCGTTCCATGGATGCCGGGAAATACTGGTGTGGAGTGAAAAAATTTTTGAAAGATGTCTACACTGAAGTCGAGCTGAAACTAGTAAAAGGTAAACAAAAACTTGGTCAAATTCTGTTGCACACTGAAAGCGAGTTACGGCGAGTTACAGGGATTCAGGAGTTACAGTTAAAGATAAGGAATTCATAGATAGTTTCTGTTTGTTCAGCATTATCTGTTTCTCTGCTGTAAAATTTAAACCACTATATGAGCATCAAATGATGGAAAACTGTCACAAGTTTAGAAATGTAAACTTCCCCATTGAGTTGAATATAAAATCCTTAAGTTTTATATACAGCTGTTTGTGTAAAATGTCTTCTGATGCTTTTACCCCTGTTGACAGACCGCTGCTGTGGTACTGTGACCAAAATTCTGAATTATCAGGGATATTCAGAATCCATTAGTTGTCCGTATGAGCGTCAGTACCACAACAGCCTGAAGTACATCTGCAGAGGAAACCGGCCCTCCACATGTCTTCAGCAGGCACTAATCACCTCTTACAACAAGGAAAATGGACGATTCAGACTTGATGATGATAAAATGTTAAAAAAATTTACAGTGAACATCACCAGTTTGAGCCAAGAGGATTCAGGGTATTACCTTTGTGGTGTCCAAAGAAACTTTGACCATGATGTTTTCTCTGCAGTTCTGTTGGAAGTAGAAGGTGAGCAGTCAAAGCTTCTGTGCATTTAATTACATCAGTTGAATATCTGATAATTCTGAAATAATCTTTTTCTTTCATTCATACAGAGTTCTGCTGTGTCAAATCAACTAAAATAAATGGTACTGTGGGGCAGCCACTAACTTTGCAGTGTCCTTATCCTCCACAACACCGGGATAACAGGAAGTTCCTCTGTAAGGGAGACCAGCACAACAGCTGCATGGACATGACCAATCAAAGCAGGTTCACTGTCCATGATAATGTTTCTTCCAGCTCTTTCTTGGTGATGATTGCAGAGCTGGAAGCAGCTGACGCTGGGACATACTGGTGTGGGTCAGATTCACAGTGGAAAATTGGAAACTACACCAAGATGGAGCTGTCGGGTGAGTTGGACACTTTTATACGGGATAATGTAATGAATAGATTTGTATGCTATGTGCTTACTTGAGATCAGTTCAGTTGTCGAACCACAAACTTACCGCTGCTGGTAAATCACTCTGAAATAATAATTGTTGGAACAGGTATTCACTGCCACTTGTGAATTAAATTCTTTGCATGTAAATTCAAAATCAGTGCTAAGAACTCAGCAACCACGCATGCAAGAAGTCATCTGTTTGCAGATTCACACAGTTGCAGGTAACTCTGCTTTTGAAGCTGAATCCTGGCTTCTCCAATCAGCTAGCTTTATATAGTTTGAAGAGTGGAGGCCAAAGTATGAGGGATCCTAGTGTGAATGGTCACTTTCAAAGTAGTGATGCCACAGACTCTGTGATGTACTGATTAAAGTTACTGTTCTAAACCCTATGGCAGCAACATAAGCGCTGTTTTAAACCATATTTGTTTACAATTACAGAAAATTAGTTTTGCTGAATTAACTATTAACACTCATATTGTTTGCTCTTTAGCAGTCAATTCCTATTCCATATGTTCAAAATTGTAAGTCATTTTTGCTACTCGTTCATGTCTTTATACAATGAAAAGGCCATCAGTGCACTTTTTTGCCTTTTAATAGCCTTATTTCTTCGTCATTTATAAACTCTCATAACACCTTGAGTACAAGCGACAGCTACATTACATTTTTTGGGCAGAAAAGCATCTTTAAACTCCATAA